AAGAGGCATAGATTCGTGAGCCCACAGGGAGGTATTTTTCAGAGAAAATCTGGGGTATAGAGCATTCAATGGAAAAGGACTGTTTCCTATGAAATCAACCTGACATTCAAATGAACTTAAGGGAGATGATCCTCATTCCTAGGAGGAAAAGAATGTGTTGCAGAAAGGTCAGGAACCAATTTTATTTAAGAAAAAAGAGATCTTATTTTATTTAACGTTAGTAATTTGTAACTTTGGGGAATTTCCAACGAGTGCCATGAATGTCCTCCTAGATGCAGGCTGTGCACATGGGAGCAAAGCTGTACATATGTCCTCTTCAACTTTCTATGCTTCCTTGCCTCTCCATTTTGCTCCTCAAATTTGGTTTATGAAACTTCTGTTCGGGCCTCCCCGGTGGCGCAGCGGTAGAGCGCTGGGTTGCGAAGCTGCCGCGGATCTGTGGCGCCGGTTCGATCCCTGGCTGCTCCCCGGCCACCGGAGGAGGGTCCCACATGGCGCGGGTCCTCCACCTGCCGCCCACTGCTCCCTCAGCAGTGTACTTCGGTCCTTCTGCCTTCTGCTCCCCGCTCTGGCTCTGGTGAATTAAACACTAATCTACCTCCCTGAGTGAAAAAGGTTCTCAGTAGGGCCTCCCAGATGGGAGATGGTTGGCGCTGGGTTGCAAAGACCCGCAGTGAAGCGGGTGGATGGGTGGGTGAATGGTTAGATGGATGGATATAGAAGGACGGATGAATGTATTACTGAGCAATGGGTCCCTCCACCTGATGTGCATAGATCGGATGATGATATCAGGTATTTGAGAAGAGCATTAGAAACAAAAACTAACAAACAAACAAGGTAAATAAACACTAATCTATTAAAAAAAAAAAAAAGAAAAAGGAATGAAGTTATATAGATTTTGGGGACCATGACTGAGAACAAAGAAGTAGAATTTTATTGCTTGAGAAGCAGTTTAGAGGCAAAGAACTGTGAACTTGGTTGAAGTTCATTGTCTACTTATGGGACAGTTCAAAATGAAGCATGAGGAGGCTTTTTTTCAGATAACTGGAGTTTAAAATCTCAGTTTGTAGGGCCCTCCTCTACTGGGCAGCACCCCCACCCCTGTATGCTTAGTCTCCAATTGACCTTGGAATTGAGCTCAAGGTTGTGGATAAACCTCCATCCTTTGTAAAACAAGTGTTAGGAAAAAGGTTTAGATCATTTTTTTTTCTTTCTTGTACTTCAGGGTGTGAGACCAATTTAATCATCTAGCCTCCATTTCAGGTAGATAGAAGGAAACATCATCTTAAAATCTATCAATATATGGGAATTTAGAACCTGGATATTTTGGAGGATGAGAGAGATGATTGGGAGGACACAAAAGTAAAGAGAGGGTTGATATGGAATGAAGTGATAGAAATCTTCTGAGGTATAGAGAACAGCATCTAATTCTCCCAGCCCCGGGGAGGGGTGCGCAGGATAGAGACAGTCAGTCATGGCAGAGGGAGGGAGGCAGGGAGAGGGATCCAGCAAACTGAGTCTTTAGTCAATAATTATAAAGCACTTAGAATAGTGTCTGGCACAGAAAAAATGTATTTGAATCTTTCTCTCTCTCTTATTATTGTTTTTTGTTGTTGCTGTTGTTTGCCTCCATTTCTCATCTTTCTTCCAATCTCTGTTACCTCTCTTCTATTCTCCCTTTTCTCCCCTGCTCCCCGTCTCCCTCTCTCTCTCATGGAAAGAACACAGCTCCTCCACTACCCAGCAGGATCTGATCCCGGCTTCCCCTCCCCACTTCTGCCCCTCAAGCAAGCCAAGCTCTGGGCTGAGGTGGGTTTGGTGGGTGCTCCCAGCAAGCGGTTCTCAAAGTGTGATTCTTAGCATCATCTGGGGAACCTGTTAGAAAATGCAAACGTTCATGCCTACCCCATCCCAGACCTATGAATCAGAAACTGGGGCGTAGGAATTGTCCTCTGGGTTTCAACAAGCCCTAGGTGGGGGTGCTGCACAGTGGAATTTGAAAATTCCTGACTTAGACAATTCCAGGTGACTGATGGTTTTCTCGTCTTTGTTGCAATGTCACTTGATCTGTATTTTCTGCAGGGCAGAGCAGAGCACTTTGGGGACTTTGCCCTGGGGACAAACCTTAGGGAACAGGGGAGGGTTCTCCAAGCAGCTGGGATGCTCCCAGGCACGTCTGGGACAAACCTGGCTGTAATCTGATAATCCCATTCTGCAGGCTTGGGAAACTCAGGCTGACTGTGGAGAACAGTTTGGTCCAAGGTCAGGCAGAGATAAAGATACTGACTGACCTGCAGGGTTTTCCAGCTGCTCAGGCCCTGCTCTTGGCACACAGGGGTCACCAGAATTTGCTGAATCCATGCATCTCCTTTTTATACTTCTCTTTTTTTTCTTTGTGTAGAACTGGGGTGTAGGCCAGAGGTACGGGGGAAAGAGGGGATGTGAGAGGATTCACCAGAGACAGAGTGGGGAGCTGAACAGATGAATTTACTGAAATGCACTGCTGGGGGTGGGCAGCGGGGTCGAGTCAGGAGAGGTTTGCTGTGCCATGTGGATCAGCTCCCTGCCCCTGGATTGAACTTGTGCTGTAGTGGCTGCCAATAGCTTCACAGTGCTGAGACTTAACCCCTTGCGCCACCAGGGAGGCCCCAGAGACTAATACTCAATCCCATTGCATGGATGCGCCACAGTCTTTGTCTTCAGCCGTCTTCCAGTGGACACTTGTGTTGCTTTCACCTTTGTCTTTTGTGAATAATGCTGCGATGAATATGATGTTAGCTGATTAACTCCACCATGGTTACCCCAAAGTGGATGGAAGGGTCAAAATGAACATAATTTCTCTAACTCCAAAAGGGGCTTCTCTTCCTATGATATTCACTTTCATGTTGCGCTCGTTCAGGATGAGTTTCACATTTTACTTAGGGCTCTTATTCCATGTGTCCTGACTCTCCCCACTCACTTCAATATTAAATTTAATTTCACAAGCAGGAAAAGCTGTTTGGCTTTTATCTTACATGGGAATTTCATGACTGATATTTATTCTCAGTTTGCATCCCCATCTTCAGAAAGAAAAAGAGGAGAGCATAACGTAATGAACAAATTGGGGAGAAAAACCCACACTATGGAAAGGGGTGAACAAATTAGCAATTAACTAGTTATAATTTATCTTACTGAAATATTGAAACTGATTGGCAAACTGAATGTGAAGACGAATGAATACATTTAGTAACGATAGAATAGACAAAACCCAGACTTAACAAATGGGATTAACTACGCATTTAAGCTATTTTATTTTCCATTCATGCCCTCCAGAAACATTTTGAAAAGAGCAGGAATTCTCTGTTTCTAAATACAGAAATAGGCATTTTTCCTCTTAGAATTTTTTTGGGGGAGGGTTAACCTCATTTGCTAATGATACTTGAAGAGTATCTCCTAAAATATTACCAAATAATGGGTTAAGAATGATTCAAAATAGACACCCTGTTTTCCAAAAGCTATTCTTTGGTAACTTAAACTGACTGTGAATACACTTTCCCAGTCAGTATCAGTTTCTCCCCAGTACCATCCTTTCTACCTGCTTACAACTTTCTCACCCCCTTCATCATCTTCTTCTTTTTCAAAGATTTATTTATGCAAACAAGAGCTGGGGTGCAGGCCAGAGATGCGGGCCTGGGGGGATGAAAGGATTCACCAGAGACAGAGTTGGGCACAAGACAGGCAGATGGACTGAAATACACTGCTGAGGGGAGCACTGGGGAGACAGGAGAGGTCTGCTGCACCATGTGGGTCAGCTCCCTGGCCAGGGATCGAACTCGTGCTGCAGTGGCTGCAGATAGCTGCGAAGCAGATGGCTTCACAGTGTTGCGACTTAACCCCTTGTGCCACCAGGGAGGCCCTCACCCCCTTCTTCATAACCTCAGAAGCCTCACTGCCTTTATTAATTCCTATGAGTTCTTATACATTTTATTTTGTTGAATCATCTGCTATGTAAAAGCCCAGCATTTGTTTTTATCATTTCCCTGAACTCCCTCCATTTTGCTGAAAATGGCTGCTTTCGTCTTATGGCTGAAAAATATTCAATAGTGTGGAGAGACAACATCTTCTTGCTCCAATCATCTGTTGATGGATGCTTGGGCTGCTTCCAAGTCCTAACTGTTGTAAATAGTGCTGCAGTTTAAACTGTCGACTATGTATTTTTGGGTTAGTGGTTGCACGTCTTTGATTGTCATACTTCCTTTCTCAATTTTGCAATATAATTAACAAATTGCTACTTTTAATTTTTAAAAACACAAGCAAGAAGATGGCCCCTCGTTGCATCTTACCGATCAAGGAGGTTGCTAGATGAGCCTGGGTTCCCCGAAGGACCATTGATATCTCGGCCACCAACGTGATCCCAGCTGCCCAAGAAGCAGGGAAAATGTCAGTCATGGCAGCGTTCTGTGGGGAAGGAACAGGGTGATGGGCCAATTATCACAGATGCCTCCCGAGATACGAAGTGGCTATGAGAGAGAGACGACCTGGAATAATGGGATGTCTTTGGTTGGTTTCACTTTGAATTTGATCACCCATTTCATTTTCATCTCACACTGTTGATAATAAAAGTTCCCTGGGGTGATCATCATAGTTGTCCTCTCCCCTGACTTGGTGATCCCAGCAGGTAGGAGCTCAGTCTGTGGTTTAGACGCAGGTCTATACATCTCAGCGGGGTCAGATTCCTGTAACCCTGGGTTTCCCTGGGCTCGAGCCCTGGAAGGGGCAAGAACAAGACTGACTTTGGACTCACTGTGGCTCCCCCCAGGCTCCCATCCAGACCCTGAGCCCACTAGCTGCTTGATAATCAATTAAAGCTTTGTGGTAGGTGGTGGGGCTTGGGGTGGGGCTAGACTGGGTGGGTCCCAGGACTCTAGGGTGTGTCTGGGCGAGCACAGAGCACAGGTGATATTTAAGCCCCAGGCTTGGTGGACAGAGGTTCAAGCAAAGGGAGAAGAGCAGGCAAGAGGATGCAGGACCCGGGGGCTACTTCGGGTGAGCTTGGGCTGGCAGTGAGCATCTGGGTGGTGGGTGAAGTTGTACGGGTGGGATCCTGTGGCAAATAGTGGGCCTTGCAAGTGACAAGGGTGGCTTCCACCTGGGATGGGAGGCTGCGGTAGCAGGAGCAGTAGGAGCCAACCTGAGTCACCAACCTGGGTGAGCGCAGGACCCTAGGGCATGGCAGTGGGCCTGGAAGAGGCCTACTTCAAAAATGTGAAGGCCAGACAGGGACTGAGGTTGAGCTGAGAGCCAAGGTAGCGAGTGTCTGGATGCCATACTCTCACCTAAGTGCTGCCCCTTGCCCTTGGGCCAGGGGGAATTCCTCCGATGCCTTTTCCCCCTGCATCAGAGATCCCACAAAGCTCAAGCCCCCTGAAGCGGCGGCGACAAGAGCGCACGGTGTACACCGCTGAACAGCAGCAGGAGCTGAAGAAATACTTCAAAACCAACCGGTACCCAACCTACCAGGATCGCCAGGCCCTGGCGGATAGGCTAATGCTGCAGGAGCACCAAGTGCAGGTGAGCACCCCTCCTCAACACACACCACCCCACCTCCCAACATACACTTAGCACCTTCCCTCCCCAGATCCTCAGCAGGAGAGCCCAGACTCTTGCAGGGTCATGTAGCAAGAGGTGCCCCTTGTGACCAGAACTGGACCCTCAGTCCAGCTGTGCCTTGTGTGGTACAAATCTGCCAATGAGATCTGCTCAGGACAATGCCCCATGGGGTCTCCTGCAGCCAGACCCCTCGGGGTGGAATAGGGGAGCCTCTCCTTGCTCCTGGGTGCCCAGGGCCTGCGTCCTGCACCCTTCCCTCGTAGCCTCCTAAGCCCCAGGGGCCTGTGGTGGGAGGGCCAGGTATGAGGCTGGCCCTTCTTGCTGCTCCCTGACAGGCGTTTCCTCCCCGTTTCTTCTGTTCCCCAGGTGTGGTTCAAGAACCAGCGAGCCAAGTTCTCCAAGCTGCAGAGACTGTCCAGGGGCCGAGGTCGGAGGCCAGGGGTTTTGCGCTCTGCCTGCAGAACCCCTGCTGTAGCTGGTGCTCTTTGTCCAGCATATGACACGGCTTTTGCCCAAGTCCATCCTCCTGTCAACCCAATGATTCCAGAGGTCCCAGATTACAGCAAACCGGGACCCCCGACCTTGGCCCCTTCAAATATTGGCCCAGCATTCCAAGGGGGCCCAGATTTCAGCAACCCAGGAACCCCAGCCCTGGCTCCTTCAATTGTGCCTCCAGTGTTCCCAGGGGGTCCAGATTTCAGCAACCTGGGAACCCCAGCACTGGCTCCTTCAACTGTAGGCCCAGCATTCCCAGGGGGCTCAGATTTCTGCTGCCAGGGAGCCCCAACCTTGGCTCCTTCATCTGCAGACCCCATGTTCCCTGGGGATTTACTTAACCCAGGAGCTCCAGCCTTAGCCCCTTCATCTGCAGGCCCTGTGTTCCTGGAGGACTCTGATTTCTGCAGCCCCTACCTACCCAGGCCACCAGCAATCTTCCCACCAGCAGAACCCTGCGTATCCAGCCAAGGTCCGGCCTGGGTGTGTCCTGCGCAGGGCATCCATGTGTCTGTTCCAGCTACCCCAGCCCCACCCCCAGGTCCAGCTTCCGCTCCAGCCCCAGCCTGGCCTCCGTCCTCCTATGTGGCATGCTTCTCGTCAGAATCTGGGGTGACTACTAATTTCCCGTCTGTCCTGTCATCTCTAGATCCCTCTGAGGGACCCTCTTCCTCCTCTTCCACATCCTCATTTTCTGGGCACCGGGAGGGAGATGTCTTTGTGACTGAGAATGATTCAGATCCCAAAATGCTCCTAAATCTCTGAGGGAGATTGTTCTGGCAAAGTCCTGCAATTCCCACAGGGCCAGAGGGAACTGTGATATCCGAGGGGCCAAGTCACCTCCATTTCTCAATCTGCAGATGGCCCTTGCTGTGGTCAAGGGCTTCTTGACCTCAGCGCTTCTGTGAGGGCGTCTGAATGTCCTGGCCAGGCTATATAGGGCCATTGGGAGCATTTCTGTTGGCTCCTGAGTCGGGCCTGAAATCTATGGCTGCTCCAGGCAGGCTTCCATCTAGTGGATGCTGCCAGAGCTTTCTAAAGGGATTTCATCAATCTTTTGGGGAATTCACTTGGAATTGCATTACATTTAAATGTTTTGGGAAACGATTTCGACATCTTGAATACTGAGCTATCCCTCCTAAACTTCATTAATTTGACTGTTTACAAAGTTGTCTATGAAGTGTTAAGTAATAACAATCCAGGTCTTCTCAGATTTATTTTCAGTACTTCATTTTTATTATTGCTTGTAATTTTAGATTTCTTTGTTAAAAATATCTGTTTATATATATATAGGTCTTAGTGGACATTTATTCTGTATGCAAAGATCTGGCTCAAGCCTTTTTAATTCTGGTAAATAACTTCACTTTGTTATGGACATGGTAATTTGAAAACTAATAAAGTTCATGGTCAATTTGTAGATATTCTTTTGTGCTGAGGCAGTGATTGTTACTTGTGCCCCCACCTACCCCTGCCATGTTCCCCAAGCCTTCACACTGTCTCTTTGTCCCTTGTTCTCTTGAAACCTCTGCCACCCCCTTGTGGCCATCCTGGTCCCCGGGTCTCCCCGCAGCAGCTCTCCGACCCTGTGCTGGTCCCAATTAGTAAATGCTCCAATCCTCTTAGCGTGGGCAGCCTCAGCAGAGCAGAGAGAATTAAATCAGATTTGGCGGGGGTGGGGGTGGTGGTGGTAAGGCACACATGTGACATGCTGTGGAGGAGAGTATGGGGCTGGGGTTACCAGATGACCAAGATATATGGGAAGCCCTCCCTGCTTATCTGATAGACATTGGTGCTGAACCCATCCTGGCCACATCCTGAAATGGGAGAGCAGAGGGAGGAATTGAATTTACCATCTTTCCTAGGTGCGGGAGCTGACCTAGAAGTCCCTGGAGACATCCTGGGGGCAGGGAGAGAAGACTCAGACTCTCCCTGGGGTGGGGAGGAGGAAGGGTGGTGCCCCTGGGGGCCTCCATAGGACCAGGAATGAATGGGAAATGGATTAATTTTTTTTAAACAATGGAGACAGACTTTGCTTTTGCCCTAGTTAAAAGTGAGTGGATCAAGTAAAACATGATTAACCCTTATCTCATTTTTCAATTTCATTGCCCTTTTTAAAAAAAGATTTATTTATTTATGCATACAAGAGCCGGGGTATAGGCCAGAGATGGGGGGGTCAGGGGGAGAGAGGATTCACCACAGACAGAGTGGAGAACAGAACAGGCAGATTGACTGAAATACACTGCTGAGGGGAGTAGCAGGGCAGCCAGAAGAGGTCTGCTGCGCCATGTGGGTTGCTCCCTGGCCAGCCAGGGATTGAACTCGTGCTGCAGAGGCTGCGAATTTCTTCATAGCACAGTGCTTAACCCCTTGCGCCACCAGGGAGGCCCTCATTGCATCTTTTTATCCTAGCAGTCCCAGCATCCCTCACCCCCATCTGAATTTGGGAGTCTTGTCATCTTTTAGGAAGCTCTCCCTGGTGCTACTTCATTGCTTCTTTCACACCCAGGCTGTGCCCTGAGTGATCCAGCAGCAGCATCTGATTTCCTGCTCAGCTCAAGAAGGAGGAAAGGGAGGCGGTGACTTTGAATTTCCCCATATCTGTCTTCCACAGGGAGTGTTAGAGCAAGAATTTCCCTTCTTACAGCAAAAGAAAAACGCACCATCAATCAGAATGTTACTGCTGCTCTGTGGGACCCTACAATTCATGGTGGTCCATCTTTGGTTTCTGGGATGATCCTTGTAGATCCATTGATCTCCATGATATCACCAGTAAAGCTATGAATCTATTGAATGTTTTACGTTGTTGAAGGTGAAAATTTTCGACAGGCACAGGGTATGCAGGGAAAGGACTCAAGGTATATATACAAAGAGAAGGAATTGTACCATCAATGAAAATGGAAATGTCAAGCTTCCTTCTGTACTGGGGCTTTGGGGTAGAGATGGAGATGGCGCAGGTAGCAGTGTTTTTGTCTTGGAGGATTGGAGAGCGGTTAGAAGAAGATCAAATGAAATTCTGGAAAGACTTTGAGAGTGAGGGAACCAATTTCCCAAAGGACAGACGGGTCTCTGAACCAACAGGTGAAGAGAAAACCCATCTAGGCATAGATATAGCCTGGGATGGGTTCAGATCCAGAGATATCTGCAGTCCTTCTGTCTAGTAGGTCAAACTATGGACAAGATACAAAGAATGCATCCGTTGCTCAGATGTCTAGAAGAGTAGGCCAGTGGCTGTCACAGTCCAATTTTCTATGGAGTCCCATTCTTAGGCTAAAAAAATGGGAATTGGAGAAAATAGAAGAGGTCACCTATTTTCTAGCAGTAACAAACTCTCTCTGGCTGGTGAAGAGGATGGGATGAAGAATAATTCAAGTCACACAGAAACATCACCTGAGACCCAGGTGTGCTGGCTCCTTACCCTGGGTAGAGGGAAGGTGAGGATCATTACACCTCACCTGTCTTAACCTGGAGTCTGTTCATAGGAGTCCTCCATCCAACAAAACACCCTACCTCCAAGGTACTAACTCCCACAAATTCCAATTCTGCCAGCGATGTCTCTTTGCTTAAACTCCCTGCTTCATCCCTGATCCCCGGACCTAGTTTCTAGCTGAGAACATCTGGCTGGTGCCTGGCACTTAGCGTCTCTCAGATTTCAAGTGATGTGGCTGCTGCAGCTGCTGAGAACTGCTGCTCTAAATCATGGTTCTTGATCTTTCAGAGCCTCCTGGAGAGCTGTATCATTCACACGCTCAGGACAATTAAGTAGTGTCTCTGGGTGGCATGCAACCTCCAGCATGTTTTAAAGCTTCCAGGGGATTCCAATATGCAAAGCATGAGAACTGCTCTCAGCCGAATCTCTGCTGAGGAGCTAATGGACACAGCACGTTGATCTAGCACTGTCATTTTAAAGACAACACCAAGATTTTATTTCACACACACACACACACACAAATCCCTTATTGTTAGCGCCGATTGTCTCTTTTTGCAGAAACCCATCTAAATAAATCAAGTGCCATAAAAAGAAAGATTTTCAATGTTTATTGTTTTTATAGTAAATCAATACAGTATCTAGATATTATCCTGCTAGTAAAAAAAATTATAACCATGTCATTTGACTCTTCATCTGACACTTTTCTAAATAAAATGCCTAATAGGAATTAACTACCAAATAGTACTGTTTAGAGAATGTTGCAGCAAGTAATGTGCCTAGAGACACAATTGGATCTGATGAAGATTTGGTTCATAGGGACAATGACAGGTCTGGGAGAGACAAATATATCTGTTTTGATGCCCTACGGTCACTAGGGGGCATATATCCAGTTTGATGCCCCAGGGACACCAGTGGGCACCACCATTTCAGCACAAGGAACTTTGGGTGCAGTGGGAGAAGCATTAGATATGACAGGAGGGAGAAAAGCAGGGAATAAAGATCCAGAAACAACGTATTTATTTCCATTCGTATAATTAAAGCTAAATCCAAACAAGTACAAAGTATTCATTTGGTAAGTATTTGGAACCATAACTTACAGAAATTTAAATCAGAATGACACTCTGAAAAACAATCTATGGCATCAAAATCCTAAAGCACGCACATCTTATGACCTCACAGTCCTGGATCTCCCCTATAAGTGGAATCATGCGTTATTGTCCTTCTGACCGGCTGACAGACTGACCACAGTCTCCTGCAGGCTCTTCCCTGTTGAGGAAGTTGGCAGAATCTACTTTATGACTCACTCATATCCCATTTTTGTATATCCATTTTCTTTCTCCATTCTTCTGTTTAGCATTCTTCGGGATGGATCACATGCCAGATCCAAGTAATGCCAGATCCGTAATGGTGAGAAAGACACCCAAATTTATCCTCAGGAGAATGAATAATTAAATTATGAGTCTTAATACTAAATACTGAACTAGTTATAGAATCAACATGGATGAAGCCCAAATATAAAATACCGCGTGGAAATGTAAATTCATGGATGCGTTATACAATATGCCATATGTCTAAGTTTTCAGAGCCTCCATAAATACCACATATTGATTATGACCAAATATCACACAGTAAGAGAGCAACGCTAGGCTGGGAATTCTTACCTCAGGGTCAGAATAAAAATAAACCATGGAGATGCAGGTGATGGAAAGAAAAAGGAGCCTTAACTGTCCCTGTTGTTTCATTTCTCATTATTGATAAAAAATATTTAACATCATTTTGGGTAATACTTATATTATTTCTGTATTCATGAAACCTTGCAAAATTTAAAAAAGCTAGAATGCCATAAAATTAATTACTGGGGGAACCCTGGTAAAGTTCTCTGGGTGATGAGCAGTGAGTGTTGATAAATTAAAACCCTGGTGGTGCATGGGGTTATGTCGCAGCACTATGAAGCTAGCCCCAGCCACCGCAGTATGGCACGAATTCGACCCCAAGCTGACCAGGGAGCTGATGCACATGGTCCAGCCCCCTATGAATCTTTTATGCTCTTTTTCTGGGCTCTCTCTGGCCATCGTCTAGTGGTTCCACTTCTTTTGCAGTTATGTCACTCGTCTCCTCCTAGCATCTCTGAGTGATGCCACCCTTACAGCCCTGGCCTCTATGTTTGGTGTACACACTTACACATGCCCCCACCCATACTCCAGGTGTCCACAATAAGGCACGCATGCCCCACACACATGCTCCCAAACGCTTTCTGCATTAACACCATCAAGGTGCAGGTGATGGCCACAGAGGCTAGTGGTGTCAAAAGCCCGATTAATTCATTTACCCTACACAGATCTTCTCTATAGAATTTTTGTGTCCTAGAAGAAGAAAAAATAAGAGAGATGACATTAAAGAGAAAGAGCATAGAGAAGATGAGAAGAACGCAAGAGCAAAATTAGGCAGAGGGAGAGGAAGACATCTAGAACTGAGAAGAAT